AGAATTCCTTGAGGTTGTTCCTTTGGAGAGAGAGATCTCGGTTCCACCAGAGTGGCTTGGATCTCCTCTTCGTTCTCGAGGGTTTGCACGATGCATGGTAGGCGTTCAGTAACTCGTTGGATAGGGTCTTTAGGGACTTCTCTATATCCTCCGCGGATTTCATTGAGCCCGGATTCGCGAGCTTCGAAGTAACTGTCTTTTTAAACTTTGCCCAGTTTGTGTTCCGGGGGTTTCTATAGACTGTTATCTTCGAAGAGTGTTTGAATTCGCACTTGAACTGAATGTACTTATGGTCTGAGAAGGATGGTCTTTCGAGGACTCTCCAGTCAGATACCAAAGTACTCTTTCCCGTGACAAGAGTTAGGTCTAGCACGTTTGACGAGGTGGGACCCACGAAGGTGTGTTCCTCCCCCACGTTTGCTACGTCTAAGTTAGTGGATAAGATAAAGTCTAGGAGGGACTCACCTCTATAGTTTATGTCGGGGCTTCCCCACACATTGTGATGGGCGTTGGCGTCTGCTCCGATGAGGAGTTGGAGATTTTTGGAGCCGGCTTCTGTTACCAGACTCCTAAGTTCTTCCGGGGGGGCGGGCCTGTCGTGTGCCATGTAGCAGGAACCTGGCATTAGGCGCTTTTCCTCGCTCTCCAGCATCACCACTGTCAGGTCATCCGTGCTGTAATGAGACATAAGATGAGCATGGATTCCCTTCCGTACGAGTACGGCGGTTCTGTTCCTGCTTACCGATGTTGCGTAGAGAAAGTTGTAATTTGAGGACTTTAGTCCGGCCACAGAGTTACCTGACGCAATCCACGGCTCCTGGACTAAAGCTATGTCGGCGGGCCCTTGCTCCATGGCAATGAGGAGCTCTGCCGACGCTACCTTGCTTTTATGAAGATTGAGTTGCAGCACCCTTAGTGTCATGGGTGGCTAACTCAACCTCGCACGACGGGTTGACTATGATTGTCAGGTCACCGTCCTCCTCCTCCTCCGAGTCGTCCAGCGCAAGACCCTGGGCGGCCTCCACTATGGTCTACAGACCAAGGTCCTTCTCGGCCTCGCCTGCCTGGAGGGTGTGCGCATCTTTGTCCTCGGGGTGGCGCTTTTTCAGCCGTAGGTATACGCTACCTACGCCCCACGCCATCTTCCCGAACTTGGGATACAAGATGTCCTCCACCTCCTTGCTGATCTGGAGGATCACGTGCTGGCCCCCTCGTTGGGTAGTGGGCTACCGGCGTGCAGAACCTTCCAGTCAGCCGTTGGCACGTCCGGATTTTGCCTCTGCAGCAGCTTCAGTGCTCGCTACCCCTGGACATCAATAGGGAAGAGTACCTTCGCCTTTGGTATGGACGGGATCAGCTCCCTGTCTACCACCTCCAGCTTGGCCCCCTCCCACAGAGCTTCCAGTAGGGGCACCTTCTGCACCAGCCACTGCCGCGTTGGGTCGTCATTACATTTGAGGATTTTGACCCCGTTCAGCCATCCCGCTCCATCGAACGTGGGCATGGGAGCGCTGGGGTCCTCCTCCATTCGCGAGAATAGTGTCTCGACGAGCTGCGCTTGGACTAACTTCCACTGCGCCGCCGTCATCTTCCCGTTCTCGTCGCTGCGGTCGATCAGGACCACAATGAAATGTCTCTTGGACACCTCGCTCATGGCCTTCTGTCTCGGCTTCCTCGTCTTCGGCTGGGGGGTGGCGACCTTGCGCCTGCGTTGCCGCTTGCTCGCCGGAGTGTCTTTGGCAGCACTCTCGATCGAGCGTTGCCTATTGGTGGCCAACACACGCTGGCGACACGTAGAGAGGATTGCTCCTCCCCGTTCCCGCCGGTGGTAGCAGTCATTGTTGGGTTGACATCCCAACCCGTGCTTGCTCCTTATCAGCCTCCATATTTGGCCCGAAGGTCCATTAATGTTTTTCGGGGGGACCACCCCCTAGCGTTTTATGCCTGGCCGCCAGGCACCTCTAGCCATGGCCTTGGTTCAGTTCCCCCGACTTTAGATCGGGAAGACGATGGAACATAGCCCTAGCTAGACACTGTATTACCTCGGGCACGGCAAGCGACAGTGCATTATCCTCGCCCGGGATAATGCAGTGTCCATTGCCCAGCCGACACCCTCGTGGAGGGTTCAGCTAGAAGGTTTTTGCAAGCCAACGACATACGAAAATTGAAAACAAAAAATATGAAAATACATTTTTTATTTTATAAATATATAATGAAAACATCAGCAAATATGTTTATATTTATTTTGAGCTCATTAATAATTATTATTATTAATTAATATTAATATTAAGCATGGTAACCTATGTTTCTGCCAAGGCATAAAACGGCTCGTATGTAATTTGCAGAATGTGATATTCGTACAATTGATTGAAAAAACGTAACTTTCAGCGACAAAATAATCAGCTTGGTGGGTCTTGACGGAAAACTTATTTACTGGCTAGATTTACGCCGTGAACGAAAGTCTTGGTATACGCTCAATTTCGGAGGCGGCCTGCTTATAGTATATAGTATAGACTGCATTTGGGCACCGCGGAAGATCGCCTGGATGGCTTGTATCATTTCGAATGACTTCTCAGATGTACATAAGTCTTATGGATGATGTATTAATACACATAGCAAAGCATACTTGAAGGACGACTGAATACGTATCCACGTATCCAAAGGGACAAAGCAGTTCTTTGAGGGCCGAAAAATTGATATTTAATTGTGATCTGCTTGTAGGAGGTTATGTAGTAAGAAAACAATATTTTTTCCAAATTATGCAATTAAAAAGAAAATTTTCATTTTAGTTTACTAATAGTTATTTTCTCATTATCTCTCATTATCTCAGTGCTCAGTTACTAAAAATCGTGTTCTTTAAACCACATTTGTGGTACCATTAGCTTAGATAAGAGATCAAAGTCACGCTCTACGTAGAAAACAGATACATATGTATATGTGCAGTAAAATCAGTAAAACTGACAAGCGGACTGATTTAGTACGTAAGCACTCATTAATGTTTCAAACCAATACAAATTAAAAAAAATAATTGCTTTTTAGTTAAAAATGCCACATGGTAAAGAATTTTCTGAGGAAGAACAGGGAAGGCTCAAGAGAATGAAATTAGCTGGCATAAAAACTGGTCGAATAGCTTCGCTAATGAATTGACATCGAAATACTATTTTAAAACTTTTTATAGATCCGGACGGTTACCGCGTAAATCGTCGACTTGGCCCAGTGTCAACCATAATAAAATTGACACAACCGCACTTGCGGCAGTTTGCTACTGAATATTTAATGAGCTAAACAAAATCAAGGCAGAACTCGGGTTAACAATCCCCAGGCAACGTGTGAGCCAAATTTTGAAAGAAAATTTTAACCTCACATATCAAAAGAAAGTTGGCAAAGTCCGCTTAACTAAATGTTATAATGATGCGCGCATGTCCTTTTTGAAAACATGAGTTCTGGCACCACGAATTAGAAAATTGAATTTTAAGTGATGAAAAAAAATGTAATTTAGACGGCTCAGATGTCCATCATAAATATTGGTGAGACCCGCGTCATACACGGGCAACTTGCTACAAGCCAAACCATGGTGATAAATCGCTTATGATATGGGCTGCCTTTAGTGCTAAAGGAAAGTCTCCAATGTGTTTTATATCCAGCCGGATGAATGCTAAAGCATAACAAGAATTGGTAGATAGTGAACCTTTTTCATTTGCTTAGCATTTCTATGGTGATCAATGGATCAGCAGGATAATGCGCTAATTCATGCTTCCCGGGCCTCAATTTGAGACCCATAATAAACCGTTGATTAAGTGGGCTTCAATGAGTCCAGACTTAAATCCAGACTTAAATGGCGAAATTCTGAGATATACGTTTTATAGTGACATCTTAAAGGAGTGTGTGCACCAAATTTGGTTACTCTAGCCTTAATAGTCTCTGAGATTTGTGGTTGCCTCAGATTTTCGTCCTTTGCGGGGGCGGAAGGGGGTGTGGCGAAATTTGGACAGGAAACGGTCAAGGTCCGATATCACAGGAGTGTGGATACCAAATTTGGTTGCTCTGGCTTTTATAGGTTCTGAGATCCTTGAACTCATATTTTGCAAGTGGCAAAACCGACCATGAAACCTGTGTGTTAGAGTGAGACAGAGCGAGAAAGAGTGAAATTGTTTTCGTGATTCTGGCTGTAATAATTATACGATCTGGTTCAGATGTTGCACTCTAGAAGATAAAGTCATCTTCTACGATTCTGCGTTTTTAGTTTTCTCGTATCGTCGAAATTGTGGATGCCACAGATTTTCGCCCTTTGTGGGGGCGGAAGTGGGCGGGGCAAAGTTTTGAAATATTTTTGGAGCAGTGACATATCACAGAAGTCTGGATCCAAAACATCGTTGCTCTAGCTCTTATAGTCTTTGAGCATTAGGCGCTGAAGGGGACGGACAGACGGACAGACGGACGGACGGACAGACGGACAGACAGACAGGGCTCAATCGACTCGGCTATTGATGCTGATCAAGAATATATATACTTTATGGGGTCGGAAACGATTCCTTCTGGACGTTACACACATACACTTTTACCACAAATCTAATATACCCCAATACTCATTTTGAGTATCGGGTATAAAAAGGTTATGTAAATCCAATCATTTGAAAAAAATCTGGAAGTACCAACATTTTTTTCAACCAGTTAGATACTCTGAGGGATATTTTTATATATATTTTTATATATATTCTACCGGAACCTGGACAGATTTGGGGTCATACTACTCATGTACCCTGCTTAGTCTGGGGACACCTTGGGCAATGGGCAGCTCTGCCCCCTAGTGACCTCGGCATCGGTCGAGAAGCCCTACAAACCTAACATAATGTGGTTTTAATTTTTGTGTGTTTGGGAACTGTTGCGCCTTGGTCTTCTGTAATTTATAACGTAAACAAGTCAGTCAAGTTTTTCTCTCTTAATTAAAGAAGGTTTTTCAAAATTTCTGTTAACGAAAAGTTGGGGGTTTCTAATTTCAGGAGGACCCTATGCTACGTTCGCTGGAAGAGACGCTTCACGAAATTTGGCAACATTTAGCGTGGTTTCGAATGATAAAGATGACTTTGATGACTTAAGCGACCTGAGTGCAGTAGAAATGGACTCAGTGCGAGAATGGGAAATGCAGTTTAAAGGTAATCACGGAACAAATTCGATTGTCAACTTTTAAGATTATCTTTTTATTTTTAGAGAAATATGAGCTTGTTGGCAAGCTGTTACGTACGGGAGAGGAGCCTACTAACTATGAAGATGACGAGGACGATGAAAATATTATTAACAATGATGGAACTGTTGTTGCTCAATCAGTTAATGTATTAAGCGAACAAAAAGATGTCTTGCGGGATCGCCAGTCTAAAAATGTTACATCGGAAACGGAGATATATGCTAAAAAGATCAGTGCGGTAGATGATCACAACTTCAAAGAAGATCAAATTGCTGGAAGTAACATTTCACTTTCCACACCTTCCACCGAAAACAGTTCATTAGGTGAATTACCCATAACCGATTTTTAGCAAGGGAAAGGCTCAAAATTCAAGAACTGTTTGTAGCTTCAATACACAATCGGAACCTGAGAATCATTCAGCAATTTTGTCTTTAAAATTATTATTATTTTTTTTTTAAGTTTAAAACAATTATATTTTGCATTATGAAAAAACTGAATGAGATCACTAAAACGGAGCGGTGTGAACTATGAAGGTAGACACACTCATATTTTTGTTAAAAATTTACTTACGTTATATGATTTTGTTCAATGGGAAAATAACAACAAAAATTGATCATGACTAACATAAAGATTAAAAAATATTGAATAAATGGTCATGGGAGAAATCATTTAATATCATACAAATGAAAAATTGTATATAAATATTGCATATGTATGTATTTATATAAAAGATATAAACATTTTTGGTGGGAATCTATGTATACAAGTTTAACATTATCTGCAATAAAAGTAAAATTTAATAACACACTTAATATGTTTAATGTATCAAAAATATAGTTATGTCAACAGAGGAATTTGTGAACAGTTTGCTTTAAAATATAAAATTTTCTATGGCATTAAATCTTGATTGGCTTCTGCCCATGTGCGAAGAGAATCGTCGGGTAACACAGATAGACAGATACTGCAATAACCAATAAATCTCTGGCCGTTCGTCTTGTTTCACACCTAGTTCTCAGAGACATAGAGACCCAATTTTGTGTGTACGCTCCTGTGATATCACACTGCATCAAGTTTGCTTCACGCCCATTTCCGCCCCCAAAAAGGACAAAAACCTTTGACATCCAAAATTTTAAAGATACAAGAAAACTACTCAGCATCATAGGGAATGACAATGTTTAGCAGATTGCTGAAAATGGATCAGATCGGATTATTATTTGAGTCAGTAGGAGCAAATGAAACTGTAGTCCGTCTACTGCTGAGTCAGCGTTGAACTTTTTGGTTTGAAGTAAGACTGCCGTTCAAATTAGATCACATTATGTTGGGCAGCTACTTTGAGGTTTTGACGAAAAGAGGTGGCAAAAGTCGCAGATTTTTTTTAGCGCTTTCGATACAATAAATACACGCAGAGCTTTTAAAAATCAAACTTTCAAAAAATTCGTAAAAACGGCTATCACAGCTCTTAAATCCCATACAAAATCTTATTTTGACCATTTTTCGTGCGAGGCTGTACCAGGTAAATCGGTATAGAAGACAAACGGCTCCAAAGCGCAGAAAGAGCTTTTAGACTTAGGTAATAAATAGTTCAAAAAACATGTATAAAAAAATCTCGGATTAGAATAATTTGCAATATTAGAATAACTTTCCATTTCGCGCTACCTTTATTATGTTGTTGGTTATGAATGAATAGGCAGGCAAGTATTTCTACCTTTACCTGGATGGATTTAGTTCATCTTAAAACTTTCATATACCATTCCGCGAGGGGGAGAATCTTTTGACAACAGCACGCCAGCCAAGGAAAGACAAAAGACTAGGAACTAAATTATTCAAGAAAAATTTGTAGACAAACTATTACTAAGGGTGGACTGCCCTAAACACGGATTTGGAAACACAAACGATGGCAACTCATCTCGGATATTCTTAGAGAAAAACGAAATTACTGCAGAAATAACTGGGGTGGATATTGATATTATCAAAAGATTGGGTGTCATTTTGAATATTTTACGCAGCAAAGAAAAAATAAATACCCGCAAGCTTGGTGAATATGCCTCGAAGACTGCAGAGCTGTTACTGGAAAAATATCCTGAAAAGAAGCTAACTCCCACGCTTCATAAAATTCTTACACATTATCAAATTTAAATTGAACAGCAGAGCCTACCATTTGGAGAGATGTCTGAACAAGCCCGAGAAACAAAGTTTACAAAAAATACAGTAATATGAATACGTGCAAGACACCACGAATTAAGCAAAACAACATGTTGGCAGCCTTTTCAGATCCATATATTTCATCCATTAGATATGTGAGATCACAAATTAAATTGGCAAGCAGTTATGCTTTAGAAACTATAAGTTTATTAGATATTCCTCCCACTAAACAGGAAGTAGAGTATTATTTTACAGTAATAAAAAAACCAACCATTTTCAAAGTAAAAAAATAGTTTTCTTGTTTTAAATTGGGTTAAGTTGAAAATAAATAAAATAGAGCATTTTACATAGGAAAATATGCACCGGCAACAAAGTTCAACTTTAACCCATTATTGTGAAGCTTTTAGACACTGTAGCATAATTTACTTAAGCAGATTAAATTTTCAAAGATTTTTCTTTCAAATGCAGTCTGTTTCATGAAGATATCTTTATTTGTTCTAATTTACCAAGCTGAAACGGCGGAATTCGCCACTGTGCGACGTTTGGGTTGACATCCCAACCTGTGTTTGCTCCTTTTCAACTTCCATCTTTGGCCCGAAGGTCCGCCAGGCACCCCTAGCCATGGCCTTGTTTCAGTTCCCCCGACTTTAGATCGGGAAGACGATGGAACATTGCCTTAGCTAGAGACTGCATTACCCCGGACAGGGCAAGCGACAGTGCATTACCCTCGCCCGGGATAATGCAGTGTCCTGTGAGGAACCACGGTTCCCACAGGCCGAGTGCGACCAAGAGCACAGTCGGATAAAAGCTGACGGCTGGCCGGATAAGGCGAAGGTCAAGCCAGACGCCCACGGTTATCCGGATGCGGCGAAGAGGCCAAGGGCCTCGAGAGGGGAAGTGCCCTGCTCTCGGAGAGAGAGACACACGAGAGGCAAAGGAAACGGCGGGATCGGGCCGGCAATAATCTGGCGCATGACCAAATAAGGGCATGGGATCACGCCACCGGCCAGGCCCCGTTACGAAGGCCGTGGAAACCAGGAGACGGCGATGGAAAACTACCGACGCCGAGCCGGGGCCTGGCAAGGGGCTATAAAAGGAGGCAGCGGCGTCGAAGCGGGTCTCTTTTCCCGCGGATAAGTAAGCGCGCGCGCACGTTGAGACCCGGTCGAAACGCAAGAGTGATACTCGGTACGAAACAAAGAAGTGTAGTGAAGTGTAGCAGCAGGCAGACAGGCCCCGCCTGCCCCCCCCAGAGTAAGTCTAAATTAAGTGAAGATCCCCGTACGCCGGCGGAAGCTAGGAGGGGAGTGCGAGACGTGGAGTGCGGATTCGAGTGGCGGACCAAAGCAATAGCGGAGGTCAACTTGCCCCAATCAATAGCCTCGACGCTGCCACACCCGACGAGAGCCCCCGCGTGGTGGAGATCGGTAGTTAAGAGAAACTGTAACACCTAGCCCTAAGTCCTAATAGAATTGCGAATAAAGCGAAATTCAAGTAAAGAAAAGGAAAGTCTTATCATTTGTCGTTGGGGGCAACAATAAAAATACGTTGCTGCGAATCTGCCGACCGCTGAGCAAGCCCAGCAAACTCAAGCGAGCCCAAAAAGCAGGTTCGTTACAACTGGCGCCCAACGTGGGGCCTACAACGACAAATAATAGGACAAAGGGAGGGAGAGTATAGACATGAGAATGGGGAAGGGACAATGGATCCATCGGTTGAGAAAGGAGGAGCTTGTCCAATGCGGCCACGCCTTCGGCGTGCGGCTGGAGGGCACCGTGGACGAAATGAGAAGAACATTTAAGGAATGGATGAGGGAACACGAGGATGAGGCAGAGTGGGCCGATCTGATAGAGGTATGGGAGTGTCGGGCGGACAGGTCCTCGCCGACACCCCGGGCGGACGACAAACAAGCCGCGTACGAGCACCTGGCGCCCCCACCCGGCGCAGCCGCGGCTGCGCTGTGGAGGTCCCTAGTCGATATACAAAGAGAGTTGATAGCGAGTCTCTCAGTGCCAATACCGGAACGCTCACACACAGAAACGCCTAGCAGGCCCCGTCACCCAGGAAGGGATCGAAGCCGAGAAACCGAAAGGGAGAAAGTCGAACCAGCCACCACACGGCCAGCACACCTGGACTACGCTAGAGTGGCGAAACAGGTGAGAGAGTGGTCGTTCCGGTTCGACGGTACGACGAAGCCTCTCGAGTTCTTGGAGCAGGTCGAGTGGTCCGCCGAGACGTACGGTCTGGATCCGGATCTGATCCCTAGGGCGATGCCGGAGCTGCTAAAAGGACGGGCGCTGATGTGGTTCGTGGCGAACAATCGGCAGTGGAGAACGTGGAAAGAGTTCTCTTCCAGCTTCCAGGCTTACTTTCTGCCTCGGGGATATTTTGAGAAGTTGCTGCAGGAAGTGAGGATGCGGAAACAGAAGTGGGGCGAGCCGTTCAAAGAATACATGGTAGAGATGCAGACACTTATGCGACCCCTGAAATGTCCCCAAGAGGAGCAAACGGAGTTGATTCGGGAGAATAGCATGCCCGACTTGAGAGCGTATATGAGACCACACCGGTGCAAGGATCTCGACACCATGATGGAACTGGCAGACGAGTTCGAGGCGCTGGAAAGGGACCGCCTAGAGTTCCAACGGGAGAATCCAACCTTGAAAGCCCGGGCAGCGAATCCCTTCCACAAGCCGGCCGATACGACGGCATGTCGGCGATGCAAAGACGGCCCGCTGGAGGAGGCAGCACGGGAGGAAAGGGGAGCGCATGGCCGCTTGCCGACACCGACCAACGGCAATATCGAGGATGGATATGTCAAGAATCCGGCCCAGGCGTGCCGAAGGTGTGGGAGCGCGGATCATTGGAGCCGGGAGTGCAACGGCCGACCGCTCACCTACTGCTGGAGATGCGGAAAAGTGGGCATCTCGGCATGGCAGTGCTGCAGGAAGACGGGAAACGCCCCGCGACCCACGCCGCGGAGGGCCGTGCCAGGGTCGCAAGAAACGGTCCCTCAAGCCTAGTCGGCAGGCTGATCAGCGAGGAGGAGCAGTTATCCGCAGTAGTGGAGGTCGCGGGCATGGAGCTGCAAGCCACGGTGGATACAGGAGCCACCAGCAGTTTCGTGAGCCGCGAGCTGGCGGACCGACTGAAGGGTGAAGGCCGGGAGGTGGCGGCAAGGAAAAGGGTGAGGTTGGCAGATGGCCATAGCCAGGAGATCACACACCAGATCGAAACGAAGGTAGGCTTTGGGAACAAGGAGATCCCAATGGTGCTACTC